AGGTTTCCATACTTAAGCAAGAGTATGTGAAATTTAGTTACAGTTGCCACCTTTCTTGAAAAAAATATAACTACTAATTTAATAGTACTAATTTGCATAATACATTTTGTATGCATGACATCAAATGATGTAAATCACAAGGTGTGACATAAGAGATAATTCTGTAAAATCACCTGAAAATCACATGATTTACAGTTTGATTCTACTGTATATATGAAATGTTCCCAGTGTTTCCCTGTCTGTCTCCCAGGTTTCCCAGTGTCCCTATGTATCACAGTGTCCCTCAGTGACCCCAAGTGTATGTGTCCCCATGTCTCCCAGTGTCCCTTAGTGTCTGTGTCCCCATGTCTGAGAGACACCAGGGACACTGGGAGGCATGGGGACACTGAGACACTAGGGCCACTGGCTGGGAGACATGGAGACACTGAGAGACTAGGGCACACTGTGAGACATGGGACCACTGTGTCCCTAGTGTCTCAGGGTCCCTATGTCCAACAGTGTCTCAGTGTCCCCATGTCTCCCAGTGTCTGTGTCCCCAAGGTTCTCACCATCCCCATGTCTCACAGTTTCCCATAGTGTCTCAGTGCCCCCAGTTCTCCCAGTGCCCCCTAGTGTCTGTGTCCTCAATTGTCCCTATGTCTCCCAGTGTCCCCATGTCTCACAGTGTCCCCTAGTGCCTTTTCCCCCATCCCTCACTTAACTGAGCTGTAGGCTGTCTCTGCAGGCTCAGAGCTGCTGTCTGGACTCTCTGTGCAGAGCTGCTCCCCCGCGGATCAGTGTGTGGAGAGAGGCAGGTAGGGAGATGCTGTAACTTCCTATCCCTGCCTCTCTCCTCACACACAGCGCTGGTATTGCAGAATAATCTCTGTTTATACTAAGACCGACATTTGTATTGTCGGTATTACTGCAATACCGGCACCGGCTATGAAGCCTCAAATACCAGAGAATAACAGGTGGCAACCGTAAGAGTAGTGTGTTAAAATATATATATATATATATATATATATTTATTGGTCATAAAATGTGATCTGATCATCATGTAAGTCACAACAATAGACAATCACAGTCTGCTTAAACTAATAAACACACAAAGAATGAAATGTTGCCATGTTTTTATTGAACACACCAAACATTCACAGTGCAGGTGGAAAAAGTATGTGACTAATGACATCTCCAAGAGCTAATTGGAGTGAGATGTCAGCCAACTGGAGTCCAATCAATGAGATGAGATTGGAGGTTACAGCTGCCCTGCCCTATAAAAAACACACACCAGTTCTGGGTTTGCTTTTCACAAGAAGCATTGCCTGATGTGAATGATGCCTCGCACAAAAGAGCTCTCAGAAGACCTACGATTAAGAATTGTTGACTTGCATAAAGCTGGAAAGGGTTATAAAAGTATCCCCAAAAGCCTTGCTGTTCATCAGTCCACGGTAAGACATATTGTCTATAAATGGAGAAAGTTCAGCACTGCTGCTACTCTCCCTAGGAGTGGCTGTACTGTAAAGATGACTGCAAGAGCACAGCGGAGACTGCTCAATGAGGTGAAGAATCCTAGAGTTTCAGCTAAAGACTTACTGGCAAATGCTAACATCCCTGTTAGCGAATCTACAATATGTAAAACACTAAACAAGAATGGATTTCATGGTAGGATACCACAGAGGAAGCCACTGCTGTCCAAACAAAACATTGCTGCACGTTTACAGTTTGCACAATAGCACCTGGATGTTCCACAGCAGTACTGGCAAAATATTCTGTGGACAGATGAAACCAAAGTTGAGTTGTTTGGAAGAAACACACAACACTATGTGTTGCGAAAAAAAGGCACAGCACACCTACATCAAAACCTCATCCGAACTGTGAAGTATGGTGGTAGGGGTATCATGGTTTGGGGCTGCTTTGCTGCGTCAGGGCCTGGATGGATTGCTATCATCTAAGGAAAAATGAATTCCCAAGTTTATCAAGGCATTTTTCAGGAGAACTTAAGGCCATCTGTCTACCAGCTGAAGCTCAACAGAAGATGAGTGTTGCAACAGGACAATGACCCAAAGCATAGAAGTAAATCAACAACAGAATGGCTTAAACAGAAGAAAATACGCCTTCTGAAGTGGCCCAGTCAGAGTCCTGACCTCAACCCGATTGAGATGCTGTGGCATGACCTCAAGAAAGCGATTCACACCAGACATCCCAAGAATATTGCTGAACTGAAACAGTTCTGTAAAGAGGAATGGTCAAGAATTACTCCTGACCGTTGTGCACGTCTGATCTGCAACTACAGGAAACGTTTGGTTGAAGTTATTGCTGCCAAATTGGTTCAACCAGTTATTAAATCCAAGAGTTCACATACTTTTTCCACCTGTCCAATGTTTACATGGTGTGTTCAATAAAAACATGGCAACATTTCATTCTTTGTGTGTTATTAGTTTAAGCAGACTGTGATTGTCTATTGTTGTGACTTAGATGATGATCAGATCACATTTTATGACCAATTTGTTCAGAAATCCATAGCATTCCAAAGGATTCACATACTTTTTCTTGCAACTGTGTGTGTGTGTGTGTGTATATATATATATATATATTTCATTTACTTATTTATTTTTTAAAATCAATGGGTCTATTCCATGGGCATGGGCCTGGAGCGGCATCTCCATCAGCACCTATGTTAATCCAGCCCTACACTTAACCAGTGAAATATACCTATAAAATTGCAAATTGACGTGTAGTGCAAAAAAATCACAATAATTGAATACTGTAAAATAAATTGACTTCTATGTCAGTGTTCAGATCTTCTACTAAGTCCATAAAGTAATACGTGGAAACCCAAGTCTTCATTGCTGACGGGTTAGGGATCTAATGCTGCATTCCAGCACTATAGTATCATGTTAAGCTTGTATTCCTGACACTATAGTCTTCCTTTAACAGATATGAAGCAACTACTTTCAAACATTGATTAGTAATTGTGGCGAAACCGCCTGGGCATTGGAGAAGACTGATTGCCAGCCTCCTGCCATGTGACTATGGCCCCTGGGATGTATTGCCCTTTAAAAACTGATTTGGGCTTATGGACTTTTATTGTACAGTGCTGGCCTTTTTAAAAACAGTGTATGGACAGATGGAAACTTTTTGGACACTTTTTCTTCCCCTTTGAATCCCTGGGAAGGTGAGGCTCTTCCCCTCCACCAGCTCCATTGTTCTCCAGCAGGGAGTTGTCCCAGGGACACTGCCAGACCAGTGGGAACTGGTTTGGGAAGGAAAAGCCATGCTTGCAATTGATAATAAAGGGACCTCAACCTAACTTTTTAACCCCTGGACGGATTCATGTGACTTTTACATATGTTGCTTGCATGTGATGTAAAATCAGGGAGTTATAAAAATGTATTAAAAGTATGATTTTTCAGCTTGGAGATAATTGAGTAGATACAGTAAGAAACTCAATTATCTCCGAAGCAGAGGGGAGGAGAAGTATGGGAGTACTTGTACTGTATACTACGTGTTTATTGGTTGTTCTGTAAACCCACGTGGGCGGTCCTGTATGTGTTAAACCTGCATAAAAGAAGGCCCTTTGGTGCCAAGTAAACAGTTCCCGCTTAACCCTCAAAGTTAAGTGTCGTCTCATTATTGGGGGAGGATTTACTGTATGCTGTTAGAGGCTGATTGCCAGGAGTGTAAGCCGCTTGGGGGCTTTTCCTGTTCGTCTGCTAGCAGCTATTCGTGTGTCTCCAGTTCGGGAGTTTCGAGTATTCCCTTGGTATGCAGTTCGGGAGTTTCGAGTATTCCCTTGGTTGGAGTTCGGGAGTTGGTGAATTCATGGGTTTGCAGTTCAGGAGATTGGTGCTTGCAGTAGCTGTCGGTGCAGCCGAAAAAGGGGAATATCTCCTAAACGTTTTTTAACCTCTTTTGGGCAAAACGGTCCGTTTCAGTAATATTAGAATTAGAAAGGAATTATAGTTTTATATTGTTTGTGTTCCACTTTTCACATGACCATATACTATTATACTGTATTCTAAAAATATATTTTAGATTGTGCTATGCCAGTGGAAATGCATATCTATCTCCTCTAATCATGTTTTATAGTTGTATAGCAGATTGATGGGCACAGTCACTGCCAACAAGTTATGATACTGAACCAAAAATATAATTTTACAAATTAAGCAAATGTTTAATACATATCCAACAAGCTTCTGCCAAAATCTATGTAAAAATACAGGACTAACTTACTGAGCAAAGACAGGAGGAATGTAATTTAAATATTTAATATTTTTATGTCTATTGTATAATATTGTATAATGAGTGAAATGAAAGGCTTTTAATATAATCTTGAATATAGCATTATACATCCAAAGTCAGTATTCAATCATTCAAAACACAGCTCGTAATACGGAAATGTTTAATACATATCCAACAAGCTACTGCCAAAATCTATGTAAAAATACAGGACTAACTTACTGAGCAAAGACAGGAGGAATGTAATTTAAATATTTAATATTTTTATGTCTATTGTATAATGAGTGATATGAAAGGCTTTTAACCCCTTAAGGACACATGACATGTGTGACATGTCATGATTCCATTTTATTCCAGACGTTTGGTCCTTACTGGGTTAATATAATCTTGAATATAGTATTATACATCCAAAGTCAGTATTCAATCATTCAAAACACAGCTCGTAATACTGAAATGTTATTACTGGTTTAAGCCTCTGATGGAGAACGTCTGGATGGGTTGGACCAGTCGTTCCCAATCCAGTGCTCGTGGCCCACCAACAATCCAGGATTTCCCTGTTTTATTCCAATGGAGATATTGACAAAACATAGGCTGTTTGTGGGTCTTGAGGACTGGTTTGGGAAACACTGATTTAGACAACACATCTCAATGTCATATTTTTGCATAAGCTTTATGTATCTGCAAAAGTCATCATTGAAGTCTTTGGATATTTTTGGAGATACATAATTTGAAACATTTATCCAAAAATATTAAATACTTTGAAAATATTTGATCAAGAACATAATCAGCACTAATATTTACCAAAATTGCCTTATATTTTGATAAAACAATATATTTATTTATATTTTGGACAGACAAAAGCCTTACATTCTATGAGGTGTTCAATATATTAAGGCTGCTGCTTCTGTATCTTTTTATAAGAAAAAATGGCTATCAAAATTATTACACATACAGGTAGACATTATAATTTACTATTTATCACTTGAGTGCAATTGTATACACTATATTTAATTTTAGCAGTAAAAGCACAAATAAGGAAAATGTGACTGAATTTTTTACTATTTCAACTTTAACATTTTGTTCTTTTTCATGATTATGGTTTCAGTTGTGGTTGGTTAGTCTGACATCATAAAGAACATATTACTTCACCTGCAGCTAACTGCACAAGTGAACAGTTAACTAATGATGAAGCACAAGGCTAATACTTTCATTTAGTACCAACTCAGAACAGGGTACATTCATGAAAACCTGATGCAGGACTGCAGCCCTGTTTAAGCATGTGTAGGAACAATTACATTATGAAAACTGGCACAGATGCAATTTAAGTTGTTCTAATAACTGCATTGATCTTCCATCTTTCAAAGAAGATGGCTAGTTCATGTTTGTTAAATGCTTTGCATATAGTAATATGATTTTTAAAAAGTTAATTGTAATATACTCTACATTTGTACACTACCGCATTAACCATGAATATGTAAAAACATTCATTTATTTACTATTTATGAAAAGTTCAAGATGATGTAGATAGAAACAGGTAATACATAAAGTTATGCTATTTAGCAGGATAGAACAAACATATTAAAGTTTGAAAAAACATTTTATTTCAACTATGAGAAGATTGAGAAAATAATATATTTCAAAATTCCTATATCAAGAAAGCAAAAAACTGTGACTCAATTAAAGTTTTTTTTTTTTAATATATATAGTAACTAAAGATCATGCCCTGCAATCTCAGTTCTCAACTATCTGCCATTTAGGAGATAAATCCCTTTTGTTTCAATTTATGCAGTCATACTTTCTGACAGGCACAGCCTTCATTAAAAGATTGTTTTAGATCTTTCTTACTTTAGAAGTTTTTATCTCCTATTCTTTTATTTGAACTCTATTCACACACAAAGCTCTAGCAGGCTATTAACAGAGCAGGAAATAAGAAATTCTAAATTAATCAAATTGTGCAATAAAGGAAGTTTAAACATTAGACATCTCTTTACAGGAAGTGTTTATAAAGGCTATGCAAGTCACATGCAAGGACTGCATAATCAATATGATTTAATTCTTAGCTGAGAATAAACTGTGAGACTGCAGAGGCATGATTTATACATCAAAACTGCCTCATTATGCTAAAGATAGAACATAACTCCTGTCCTGTCCTTGGTGATCACCATAATTACTTGCAATAGCCTTGCAGTTCAATCCAGACAGAGTAACACTCAGACTTGGAGACACTCGATTGAAAGACATATACAAGGGAGTCAGTTCAGGAATA